TGAAAAGTATAATTACTAAAATACAAAGTTGGAACAGAGCCTGATGGTACAGGCCTGTAATCAATCCCAACTATTTGGCCTGGGCTACAGTGATTTCAAGGCCAACTTGAGCCTTGTCTCAAAATAAATATTAAAGAGAGGCCTAGGGATTTCAGTGATAGATCACCTGCTTAGCATGTGTGAAATCCTGGTTCAAGCCTTACTATTACAAAAAACTAGTAACTTGAATAAAATTAGAAAATTACATATTACTGGGCCTTTAATATTTGTGTTCCAATAAATGCAAAAAGAAGTCCTTATGGTAAGAGGATTGTGTTGTATCGAATCATATTCAAAGCCATAAAGTAAAGCAACTGAAATAACTGCTTCAAGAGCTTTTCTACTGTTTTACAATATAATGAAGATCTAGTTTCTTTATGAAAAAAATATATATTTAAATTTACTCCATGTGCATGTGTCTGTGAGAGCATGTATGAGCCAAAGTATGCAACTGGAGATCAGAGGACAACCCCTGAGAGCTGGCTCCTTCTCTCTACCTAAGGGTCCCCAATATGGAACCCAGGTCACCACAATCAGTGGCAGGTGCCCCCACTCACTGACCCATCCTGCTGGCTCCAAAGAATGCTGTTTCTCTACAGCATTATTTATTTGTTTGTATTAAATATAAAACTTTCAATTTTCTACTCAACATTCTTCTGAATTTAATGAATACTCCCCCCACCCCCCTAATTCAACAGATCACAGAAAAGATGCTTTTAAAATGTTTGGAATCTCAAAATCATTTTATATTTTACAATCAGAAAAATGAACAAGTCCCTGATACTGAACAAGTCCTCAATGAGTATCATTTTCAATGACTTCCTAAAATCTGTCTGGAGCCCTAGTATGTCTAAGTAAAGAGTTTGAAAACAGCCATCTTACACTGTGCTGCCTTCCACTGGAATAGACCACATCTCTCCCTTGCTTCAAATCCATCTGAACAGCTGCTTCTTCCATGAAGCCAAACATGAGCCTTCTAGACAGGCCTTGACAATGAAAAAGACAAGGGTTGGAGTGCTCTTGAATCTATTAAACTAACTCTAATTAAATCACCTCCAACAATGAAAAACTTAAAACTGGACAGTCTCTAAGTGGAGTAATTGATTAAGTGCACTAGGAAAACTATTTTGTCATGTTATTTGTACCACCGGGACATGGTAATGTATGTCTGTAATCACAACTACTTCAGTGGCTGAGGCCTGGGATAATCAGAACTCAGGAATTCTGAGTTTCAAAGTGCTTAGCAGGTTTAATATGCATAAAAGTTATACTTTACAACACGTCTTGTCTAACAGTTTGCAAGGGAAAGCACAATTCAGAAAGAGAGCAGATAATTTTATCTTCTTCATCTCTTGGGAAAATGGAATAAAACTTAAAGGCAAAGAGCAAAAATACAGGGACCATGGAAAATATAGGGACCACAGAATCTTTCCAGTTACTCTGCTTAACTTTTTGATAGCAATTTTAAAGACAAAACAGTGTCAACATAATAGATATTCAGTATTTATGTTGTGTTAGTGACTATTCTATGAGCTGTGTATTTATCATCGCATTTAACCTCCATAATCCTCCTAAGATATGGGTACTATTATTTCTTCATCATTTAATGAGAAATATGAGTTACAGAAAAAAATCTATCTAGGGTAACACAGGTAATCAGCAGGAGCACCATGTCTTCAATTCATGTAGCAGAAGTCCACAGATGGTGCTCAACTTAATTTTTTACGTGGGTGTATCTTGAAGTCAGACTTTGGTTTTCAAACAAAACTATTCCTCAGAGTCCTGGGATTCCATGAGAATATTTCTGGGTCATTAAAAAAAAAGTGAATACCAGACAGAGTTTTGAGAACTCCATATAACCAAAGCAATTTTACCTTGTTTGCTTAAATATTGGGACAAAATTAAATTTTATACATAATAACTAAAGCAAAGTTTTGATACTTTAAAAATTTATATAACCAGAAATATTTCACACACATTTGCTACTAAATACGTTTTAAATTAATAAATTGAAATGACATGGCATGACTCTATGCATTAGGAAAAGTTAATATACCATTACATCAGAGAAAATACTGTGTCAATAACTTAATAATGCTAAATCATGTCATTTAGTTTTTAATCATTAGTAATCAAAAGATTTCATTGCTAAAAAATTCATTCTCATAAAGGTAGGCTTCTCACACACATATTTTTGTAGAACATTAATAAATATACCATCTCATATAATAAAATGATCACTCACATTCTTTCATATCTTTGGGTTACTGTAAGAGGTTATATTAAAATTCAGCACGAGCAGGGACGTTAGAGTATTTTTAGAAGCTCATGAGTTGGCTTCAACTTTAAAACATTACAAAGAAAAAATAAAACATAACTGAGGAAACTGTGACAAAACAAAACTAAGATTCTGGTTTTATATTAAAGACGAAAATCAGCAAAAAAAATTTTAAAATGATTCCCCCCCCCTTTCTAACATCTATATAAGAGCTTTGTTTTAGAGAGAGTATAGTTTTCACTTAAATGAAGATACAAGTATGAAATACTGTCCACTATTTAAAATATTCATTGCTGAAATTTTCATTAAAAGATCTATATAATAACTACTGAAAAATTACAAACCATCGTCCTCCTGGCCACATTGAACTACATGGAAAGACAGGATCAGAGCCTACCAAGTGACTGTAACAAAGTGAACAGAAGTGAAAAATGAACAAAAGCAAGTTTTTCATACTTTAAACAAATGTCAAGTTTTTCATACTTTAACACGGCTGGTTATAAATTTAATTTTGCCAGGTGTAGTGGCTCATGTCTATAATCCCACACTCAGAAGACAACTGCCAAAAGTTTGAGGCCAGTCTAGGCAACAGCATATGTTTCCAGGTAAGTCTAGACTACAGAGACTCTGCCTCAAAAAAAACAAGAAAAACTCCCTCCCCAAATGATTTAATTTTAAAACCCATTTTTGAGAAATTGCAGCTAAGCGTATGGAAGCAATACTCTCATACAAACAAAAACAAACCAAAAACCATTACCCCAAAGACACAAGAAGCTAGAACATAATACTGCCTTAAAAGCAAATGCCAGAAAAATGGTCTGAACACTAACTCTTGTTCTCTTCTGAGTCCAGATGAAAAATACCCCTACTGCAGCAGTACTGAGTGAGGAGAAATGCACACTCAGTTTATCTTCTTCGTCCCTTAGGTCTTTATGAAAAAATATTAGGTAAGTTGTCTACACTAGAATAGTAAAACAAAACAAAAAATGTAAGCAATATTAGTAAGTCGATGGAACCAAGTAATTTTGACAGTGGTAAGGTTAAGCATTAATATAAAAATTAAGCAATTTCATGAACCTAAACCAGGGTTTTCAGGTAGTAGTTAGCCACCACTTACATAAAACATTTTCCAGAGATGGTACTAAGGATTCTTAGTGTTAAGGGAGGGCAGTTCAACTATTCAAACCCATTTACAACTCATCTTTCTTATTCTTATTTCTGAAAGGTCAGCATCCATTATTTTAGGGTTACTTAAAGAACTATCAAGACAAGTACACATTTTAGTTCCTTCTCACTTGTTTCCTTCTTGATTTCCAAAAAATAAAGATAAATAGCTAAATAATGTCTGACTAGTGCTAGAATCCTCGAAAAAAAAATTCCCAATAAAGCAATTTGCATTAAAGTACAAATGAAAGTTTAAAGAGCTTATTAACCTATGCAGCATCTGCTTAAACAGCTAGGTTATTTTGTGAGCTACTCAACTCTAAGCCACAAATTGACTAATTACACCCGGTCCCCCTAGTTTCAAAATACTTTCAACTCTTGGCCTAGGTAAGTTTAGTTAAACTTTAACTGGCTAAGGATGCTATGAAGAGAACAGTTAATTGAGGAGAGAGTTGGACTATAACAATGTACTTTTTATACAGCCACTTTGAATACTTTGTGGTAAAGAGTCCTAATTATCTCAGATAATCCCAAAGACATATTCTATGTTCACCAATCCACACTCTGCATTTGATCTGTGTATCTGGAGGTCGCCTCTTGTGTATAGGAAATTGATATTAAAACAGAAAGAGAACCAATATTATCAGCTTTAAAACCATTCAGAATTCACAAAAAAGAGGCTAAGTTAAAATAACAAAAATAATCTATTATTACTTTGGGCTTTTTAAAACAATTTTTTTCTCTAAAAGGGGAACGAAGCAATCAGTTCTATTTTTAATACATGATGACAACATCAGTTAAATATTTCTTTCAGTACTTCAGATTTAGAGATGTAAATATTTAACAAATACAAAAGACAGTATAGAGAAGAAGGGAAAGGAAAGCTCCATGGAGAGGAACAGGAGAGAAAGGGCAGTGATCCCTTTCTTATACACCCAAAGTAAAAGATCTTGAAGAGAAAGCAGTTAAAACATGTACAGAAAAGGACACATTTTTCTCTACTTTAAAATTTTAATTTTCCACTAATGTTCTTTAAAATATTTACTTATTTATTTATTTATTTATTTATTTATTTATGTAGACCAGGCTGGTCTTGAACTCAAAAAGATCTGCCTACCTCTGCCTCCACAAAGTGCTGGGATTAAAGGCGTGCACCACCACGCCTGGCTTATTTTTATTTTTTAAAGCAACAGAGTTCTAAAAAATAAAGGAGAGAGAATTGTTTTCTTTTACTTAGGGAATTTAAGTTTTCCACTTAGAATTTCACATTTTGCAGGAAGTGACATTTAGTCTACACAGCAATAACTCACATTACCTATCTGAGGAACACAGTGATAACAGCCTATTACCAGTAAGTGAGCCAAAGTATATGCTTAAATCTCCATGACATATATATTGTCAAAACATAAAATATTCATGTATTGACATGAAAAACATCCAATTCTGTTCTGGATTTTTTTTTTTTTTAAATCAACAACATCCACAAAATTTGAGTTTCACTTTATTTGGAAAGACGTACCTGAATAGCTGAGTTCATGAAACACGTATTTCCCAAGTTACTTAAGCCACAGAGGCCTGGCTGTTCATTGTTTCTTCCAGGTTCTGAGTAATCATAGTTCTTATATGCAGTGTATGATGGGAGACAATAATTTGAGTTTTTCACACTGGAAGAAAAAAAAATTTATCAAAATGCAGCCAATTATATCACAATATAGTTACAATAAACAGTATTTTCAACCAATTCATGAGATCAAATACCCTTTGAAAAACACTCAATTTGAGCTATTACTCTCCAAGTAACCTCCTTAATTAGGTATTCTTTATCCAAGCAACAGAAGCACTGTAATATATGCCACACCAACCAATAAAAGCTACTATTATATCATTCTACCCTTGATTAACTGGGGCAGCATCGCAGCTTGCTCCAGTCTGCATTGCGCCATCAAAATTAAAACATTCAGATTTTAAACACCACCCACAGCAATAAATCATCTCATTTATGTCCCTTCTGCATTCTGCCACTTAAGAGTGAGAACTGCAGAAAAGGAAGAGCTGGGCTTTTGTTACAGGTGAGCACAGGGAGTTCCAAGGTCTCTGATATCACTGCTGAGATGCACTGAAGATTCTATTTATAGTTTTTAAGCTAGACCAGCAAAATCTAGCATTCAAACGCACAAAACAGCCTGTGTGGTCAGGAATGCAAAAATGATTCTAAGCAAGTAGATTTACTTGCCTTTCTTTCTTCTAGCTTGACACACTAAAGTAGTTTAACTATATACTCACAAAGTTTTACTGCCAGTGTAATACATTTTAACCTTAAAAAATAATCTAAAATTTAGGAAATCAGCATCATTTAAAAAGTCAATAGGGGGCTGGAAAGATGGCTCAGTGGATAAGAGCACTGACTGCTCTTGCAGAGGACCTGGGTTTGATTCCCAGCACCAACATGGCCACTATGAACCGTCCTTAACTCCAGTTCCAGGGGAATCTGAAGCCCTCTTCTGACCTTCGTGTCACATACATGCAGGCAATGCACTTATACACATAAAATAAAAACAATAAATAAAATAGTAAAAAAAAATAAGCTAAATGATCCCTCTTATTTTTACATATAATAAAAATAATTTTGTAGCAAAGATGAATTCTCCATTTTTAGTAGGCCAGCTATCATAAAATATTTATCATGGATACTTTGGATGTACTTCAAAAAAAGCTTACTGTCAGTATTTTTCAAAATAAACCTGAATGAGAATCAAGGTTGTGTGCTAAAAGTAAATGATTTTTACAAATAAACATGATGAATCAACAACTCCTATAATCTGTCTACAATTTATTCCTAATTATTTTTTTCTTATAATTTCAAATACTTCATTTCATTATTCTACCTATTATACTCACTAGATTATTATAATGGTTTACATGAACAACACTACTGCCTGCTCTAACAAACCTTTTAGTAAACACACACACACACACACGTGCACGTGCATCAAACATAAAACAGAAAGCCAAATCAACCCCAAGTTAGATTCATGATGGTTAGATGGTTAGTCAGACAATTAGGAGCCTTAGAGTTGTTCAGGATTGACCCTTTCATGATTAGCCTTTGGATTGATTTCCCTGGTAATACACTAGTTTTAAGAAAGGAAAATATCATAATTACAGCTCTTAAGGTTTGAAGTAGCATATGAAAGGGAAGAAGGTAAAGGTTATGAGGGTTTTATTGAGGCACATTAAGGGAAAGCGTCTTCCTCCTGGTAAAGCATGG